AAGTCTCTCATGAATCTCTGTGTGTCTGAACAATCAAAGCCGAAGGCCACATAAAGATCTTTTCTGCCTTCATCCCACTGCCAAGTTCAATATCAGGTTGAGTGAGGTCTTCCCGGAAGTCCCTCGCCTGGCTGCAGAAAAGGCCTCCTTCCGGGGGCTGAGCAAGGCTTACAGTTCTTGCCCAAAGAAAGATAGCTCTCGGTCTGGGCAGTCCGTGTTTTTCCTCAACACAATTCTGAGTCTTGCAGGCCCTCTGGCCTGCCTGGCACAGGTGAGGCGCTTGAGGAGAGTCACCTTTCTCCCTTGAGTTCCAAAGGCTACTGTTTTCTCATGGGAGGTAGGAAAGGCAAATTCATGGGGCATACCGCACCGTCCATAAGTCTCAGCCTTTGGCCCTTATTCACCAGACTGAGCAGAGCGCTAATTCTTGTGTTCACAGAGAGACAAGCTGTTGGCGAGGCCAGGAGGTCAAAGCGGGATTCCTTTACTCATGCGTCCTTCAGGGAAAAGACAGAATTCGATTTCAATCTGTTTTCTGGGTAACTCAGCGTCAAAAAGCAATGAGGCCAGGGACTTTGCCAAGTCTTTGTTTTGTTTTGTTTTCCCCTTTCCTCCAATCAGCGCTGGGCGCTGAGGAGTGGGTGGGTGTGAGGAGTGGGGGCTACACTGTCAGGACTGGGAGGGAATGCTGAGCCGGCAGAAGTGGTCCATTGAGAGCTTCACGGGTGGCACCCCCTGCCTACCGCCACAAGGGTAGCTCTGTCCTGCAGGCCTGGGGCTCTATCCCAGTCCCACTGGCTGAGAGGGAACAACATTTCCTTATAAGGCCCCGGGTTGCCTTGCCAAGGCTGGACGGCTCCAAGAGACTGTAGCTTTCCATTCTCCTCGACCGGCTCCAGTGCAGGCCTTGAATGTAGCCCTTGTTGTCAGGCCCCTCCTCTGTCCACAGCCCCCACCCCACCCCACCCCACCCCACCCCACCCACTTCCACTCTCTGCCAGGGCCAGCCCCACTGGCTCAGGATAAACAGCCCAGAGGCCTCTCCCACGCATGGCCCGCTGTGGCTCAGGCCTGCTGGAGGCAGCACAGGGTAGAGAAAAACAGCGTCAGTGCTGCGCTCCGGCCTGCCCTGTGGTTACCTTACACATAAATGTGGCTTCGGCAAAGGTCCTGACTTCTGGGAGCCTGTTTCCTCTTTTGGAGAATGAGTATCCAACTAACCAGTTAGCCTGTAACCTGACTTCACTGTTTGATTGTTTGATACTGTATTCATTACCCCCAAGGCCTGATTCCTCTCAGATCTCTCTGCCAGCCTCTCTCTCTCTCTCTCTCTCTCTCTCTCTCTCTCTCTCTCTCTCTCTCTCTCTCTCTCTCTCTCTCTCTCTCTCTCTCTGTTTCTCCTCTCAAGGGCATGCAGAGGCTAGGGGTTGACATCTTCCCCCACCAAAAGGACTCTCGTTTATTCTCATAGGGAATTATCCTCACAGGGTTCCTCTCTACTGATGTTTTTCTCGCCTCCTGGGAGGGAAAACATGGGTTGCCTTGCTTTGTCGCCCCAATATTTGTGTGTACCTCTCACGGTTTTTCATACTGCTTCATGAAAGGCCCTTATACGAATGCCCGGCATACCAAAAGGCACAGTGGTTGTGCAAATATTTTATAAAGTATTAAGTTTTGTGCACAAGCAGGCAGGTGATACAGTGAAGGGCCCCTTCATATAGCATGGTGGATAGGGACACTCTCAGTCTCAGATTTTACACTTGGTTATATTCTCCAGCCTTTGCCCCATCTCTCCACTTCTGCATCCTGAATTCCAGACTGCCTGCAAGTCCTCAGGCAAGGGGAGATCTCTATCTCTGAGTCCTTATTTAGCCCCCAGAAGTCTGGGTGTTGGAGGCTAAAAGGAACCTATCCACCATTTCTGACCTGGAGCTCATGGCTGCCGTATGGCATCACAGTGAGTGGATAAAGGGGCCCTGAGTTGCCCGCCCCACTTCTGGTACACATGCTAGGCTTACCATAGCGTTCACAGAAAGGAAAGAAAATCTTGCGACTTTGAAGTTTCGGCACGCTAATTAATGCAATTCCAACATTGGCATTCAAGAACATGAAACCCCGCTTTTGAAAAAGTGCCTTCATCATGGGTCAGCTATGGCTTGAGACCTTATCTGGGGTCTCTGACTCCAGTTTCCATTCTGCAACTATGATGATGGATGAACCTGCATCTCGTCAAGCTGGATCCTTAAGGCACCGGGATGCTGTGAGTTCCAAATAAGGAATTCCAGTCTCCACAGGGCAAATCTTTCTAACCTAGGACTCTGCGAGTCACCAGGTCAGTGGTCCTCAAGCACAGTGTGGTTAGGTACTGCAGAATGGCCAGCCTCATGCCTCACATCCCAGACTATGTAAAAGACAAAAGACTTATTCCTGATTTTTAAAAAATGCCCTATTCTTCCTCCATGTTCTCTTTATGCAAAGATGGTGTTTGTGGAGCAGCGCCAACTGATCATGAACTATATTCTGACACCACTATTCACAGAGCCAAAGTCAGAACACAAGGTAGGATCTACCTTGGGGCCCAACCGAAAGGAGACCTTGTTGTCGTTGTTAGGGGAAGAATGCGCTGGAAATGCCTCAGGGCCGACTCTGCAGTGAGCAAGAGGTATAAGCAACAAGGAGCAAGGAGCCGGGAGACTAAACTTGTGTCTCATTTCTGGTGCTCAGTGGGAAGCCTAAAGCAAGCCAATTGTCTGAAAGGGATTTGTTTCCTCTACTGCACAGAGCTAGTGGTGATGTCACCCAGCATTCCCCTCCAAAGGCCGTGAGTTAAACCAGCCAGGATCCTGGCTACGGCAGTGCGAAGAAACAAGACCTATTTACGTTAATGGCCAGTGCTTCTCTCTCTGGGCTTGTTCTCCTGGCTGCTGAACACACACACATGCACACACACACACACAGTGCTTTCCTCTCTAGGTTCCTGTAATGTCCGCTCCCCCAACTCTTTCATGGCCTCTGGAACCCATGTCATCACTGATAACTTTCCAGGAAATCGAGGTGGGTGGAGGAGGGCCCCTGCTGAGGAATTGCTTCAAGAGTCTGCAGAGGAAAGATGAGAACCACGCCTTCTCTCACTATGGTCCTCTCTGCTTCCTTCCCAGATACAGAGACAAGGAGTTCGCCAGCTGGGCTCTGGGAAGACTGAGTAGCTAACCTGGGAAATCATTTCTATGAAACGTCATCTCTCAAAAACAAACACAAACAATATACAAGTTTAGGACAGCTATGTAATTTATTGCTAAAGCAGATAAACAGCTCTGAGAACAAAAATTTATAATATTGGCAATCACACCAGGATGGTTATGGACAGGACGATCTCAAGAAGGCAAGTACACACAACATCTTACTGAGCACTGCTTCGGCCTGTGCTGTCATAAAAACAAAATAATCCCAAGGAAAGGAGAACTGTTTCTTCTGTGTCCTCTTAGCCCCTTTTAATGACCCTGTAGATTATCTTTACGCTGTTCTTCGTCATTCAGTACAAAGTCTAAATTTAAAAAACTCTGCGTGTAACAGGACACAGCTACCTCTTCTGTCCTTGTAATAAGTGGGTGTTGCTCTCAGTTTCCCTGTGGGAAACGCAATGTCTTGGTACCGGGTGTGTACCTCTTATTGTTCACAGGGAGACACTTGATTCACAGATGCACACTAGCTCTACTCAGGACCCTTGCACCTAGAAAGTTCCTTCTTTTCCTTGACTACGACAGCCAAGGCAGATTCTTTTAAAGGACCCCTGAGGCCCAAGGATGACTAAAACCTTAAGAATGCGCTAAATTGAAAATGAGGAAACCAAAGCCCTAAGACTGTTTTGTACAAAATTACCCAACAGGACCCAGATCCAGGTACAGAGTTCAGATCACCAACCCCTCCAGCATTCCCTTAGGGTCTGTCAGCCCAACAGAAGTATGCGCACAGGAGAGCATCCCTGTCAGGGACCCAAAAACTATGATTTGGTTTTCTAAAGTAAAAGAATTGCATGCTATTCCGATTCTTTTATCTTAGAAAAAAATGAAAATTAAAGAGTATTTAGGTCTAGAGTAGTGGTTCTCAACCTTCTTCATGCTGAGACCCTATAATACAGTTCCTCATGTTTCAGTAATCTCCCTACCATAAAAGTATTTCGTCACTACTTCACAACTGTAACTTTGCGACTGTTATGAATAATAATGTAAATATCTGATATGCAGGATATGTGATATGTGATCCTGTGCAGGTTATGACCATCAGGTTATGGCCTAGCATATTAAAACATACACATCATACACACCCATATTTCCAGCAAAGATTAAATAAAATGCAATATCCTTGTAAGTAAAGTTTCCATAATTCAAAATTCTTACCAGAGCCTTGGAGTGCAAAGCAAAAAGAAACTTACAACGTCATTGCAACATGGACATTTGGAAAGTGGCGAACTCTGCACTTGGGTTCTGGCTTGTATGACAAACTCCTCCTCTGTCATACAACCTCAGGCCATGCCAGTTACCTTTTCCGGGCTTCAACACCTTCATCTGTAAAATGAAAGCTTGGAGCTTTCATTTTAGGAAATGCCTGAAATCCCCCCAGTTCTAACGCCTGTGAGCTCAAGCCCGTTCAGTGCTTTTGAATGGGAATCATGCTCTTTTCTAATGTTATGGATTTGATGCGGGTCCCTGGCAGCTTGCTGCGGGGTCAAGACCGTGCAGCAGGTCTACAAATCAAGGTGGCTGGTCCCCAGCCATGTGGCGGCTGGCTTGTCCCCGGCGAGTGGTATGGGCAGGCAGCGGGTGGGAGGCACAGATGCTGCAAGTCTCCAGGACTGCTGAGGACCCAAAAGCAGCCAGTCCCAGAGACCACACGCTAGGGAAGGTGGCTGGTCCCCAGTGGCGACAAACAAATAGGCGGTGGGCAAGAGCAACAGATAGGCACATCGTGTAGAGTAAAGCTGGACATTTATTGGGGGGGAGTTATGGCCATCTCACAGGAGCCACAGCCTAGGAGAAGTCTGACCATCACAACTGGCCAGTGAATAGCTGATGCCTTCTTGCTTCCACTCCTTCTCCCTGCTGTCAATCACTGCAGGTGACCACGTGTCAACCACGGCAAGTTGTTGACACTACCAGTGCCAGGCAGAAAGAAGCAAAGAAGCAGGTCACCTGCCACAGCACAAACAAGAGATACTGGGTAAATCAGAGGTATTAGCCATGTGGCCCCATTAGTTGATTGCTTGTAAATTCGTATGGCTCCAGTAATCCTTTCTTAAGGACTGATCATTTATTTCCTTCCTTCCTTTGCAGGTGACATGACCACCATGGTAGGGAACTGTTCTTATAAGGTAAAAGGACAACTCAATGACACTCATCCGTGTAGCTGTTTATGTCTAAATCGTTCTGAAAGTGGAACAGAGAAATCCCAAAAGCATGCACACACGTGGTTTGTTTCATCTTAAGGACCAACAGCCTAGCTTGTGGTTCCGAGCTGAAGGTTTGGATCCATGACATTAGATCTGTGTCTTTCCATTCAGAGACAGGTGGAGTCAGGTGGGCTTGGCAGCCATCATTTCTACTTGCTCTGCATCCACCTGTAGCGAGTCTTTCTCTGTCTCGCCTGCCAGCTCCCAAATAATGACATGGATACTTCTTACTAATTATAAAAGCTTAGACTTATCTCAACTAGCTCTTATAACTTTAATTAACCCATTCTATTCATCTACAGTCTGTCACATAGATTGATCCTCATGTTTCTTGTACACCTAGATTCCAGGAGCACCAAGAAACCAAGAGACTCTGTAGTCAAATGGTTGAGTTACATGGGAATCGGAAAAGTTGGGGAAGGGAAGCTCCGGGACTGGAAAGGTTAGAGTAGGGCGAGCTGTGTTGGCCAGGAGGACTCTGTAGCAAGTCCTTGTGGCATTGAGGACCTAGTGGCCAGCATCACTTTTGATGTGTTTAGATGAGTACCCCAGTTAGCTATTTGTCCTGGATTTCTTTGAGACCTGACATTTTTTTCCCTTCCTTCCTCCCTTCTTCCCTCCTTACCTCTCTTCCTCCCTCCCTCCCTCCCTCCCTTCCTTCCTTCCTTTCTTTTTTTATTTTGTTTTGGTTTTTGAGACATGGTCTCTCTGGATAGCCTTGGCTGTCCAAGAACTCACTATGTAGACCAGACTGGCCTTGAACTCATGGAAATTTGTCTATCTCTGCCTCTCCAGTGCTAGAATTAAAGGCGTGGGCCACCACACCCCACAACTTCAGTTTTTTAATCTATGAAGTGTAGACTTCATAGAACTATTATAAATCTTATTAACAAAACCACTTGTGTACTTTATCAAGCCTACTACACCACATAGAGTAGTGTTGGCCAATGTTGTTGCTTTATGTTAGCTTGAAATATCATCAAGAAACAAGCTGTCAGGACTAGAGAGATGGCACTGTGCTTACGAGTATTGACTGCTCTTCCAGGAGCCCTGGATTTGAGTCCCAGGACCACTCACATGATGACTCACAACCATCTGTAACTTCAGTGCCATGGAACTCACCAAGTACACACGGTAGTATGTACATATCCAGGCAAACACTCACACACATAAAATAAAATTAATATTTTTGAAAAAAGAAATAGAATATTTTGATAAGAAAGCCCAGGACCAGAAGGACTTACCTAGGGAAGCATAGTACCTGGCTGAAAAACTAGATCCAGCTCAAAACTCACGTGGTCCTTTTTCGTTAGCATTTTTAAAAATGGAGACATATATTTATATATCTTTATGGTACACAGTATAATAGTGTGCTATGTATAATGGTTAAATCAAGGCAACCAAAGCTCTTTTATCTCATCAAACATTAGTTACTTTACATGCTGGGGACTTTATATTCTTCTACTTACTTTGAAGTACAGCATAGATTACTATAACCAACAGTTATCCTGCTCTGCTGTAGAAAACCAAAACTAACTGTGTTTATCCAGCTTCTGTCTGTCTGTCTGTGCCCTGCCTTTCTCACTCTCTCTTAGCCACTAATACTTTCCATTCTTCTATGGGACTAACTTTACAGTTTCCACAAGTGGGGGAAGAGATGCCAACTCACATGGTTCTTTAAACTATGCACCGAGCCGAGACGCAATGTTAAGTGTGTCTACTTGTTTACACTCTCATTCATTTTTCTGTCTTTCTTAGTACACGAATGTGCACTTGTTCATTCAGCAAATATTCCCTGAGCATCACGATTCTCTTTCTTACTAAAACCCATCATTACTAAATCCTTCATTGCTAAAACCCAGATGTGGGTTCTATTCCCCAGCTCTTGTTCACTGCTGAGGACAGTGACAAGTGGCTTCTCTTTAAGCTTCAGATTCTCAGGAAACCTGATAAGATATCTCTCAGGCTCCTTCCAAAACAAGTGCCTATTGGCTGTCCTTGAATTACATACCCGGAAGACAGCAAGATGCAGATGATAGCCCTTGCCTCCTGGGAGTTCATAGTCCTGTGGAAAAACAACAACAACACAACTGGCAGGCACTTGGTTCCTCATGTTAAAGAGTAGCGTTTGCACCTAAAAAATAACTTTATGACCGAATCAGTGTGATGCAGCTCATAATCCAGGATTATCAGGAGAGCTATTTTCTCATCATTATCCCCAAGATGAATGAACGGTCATGGACGGAAACTTCCAATAAAGCTGAACCCTGGTGGGTTTTTTTGGTCCTGTGAAGACAGGGCCAACATTTTGTTTGGACCATGCTGAGTTTTTAAAAATTTAAGTCAACATTTAGCAGCTGCGAATTTCCTCATTAAAATTCAGGTTTCTGGCTGTCCTTGCAAAAGCTTGCAATCTATCAGCCCTGGCTGCGGTGCAGATGATGGCACTACTAGGTTAAGAGCTTCGCTTTTTCCTTTTAGAGTAAATGGGATCGTTTAAAGATTTATTTAAATTTTGTCTGTGTGTGTGTGTGTGTGTGTCCACATGCGTGCAGGTGGCCTCGGAGGCCAGAGAGAGCACCAGATGCCCTGGAGCTGGAGTTAGAGGTAGCTGGGATCTAACTGACATGGATTCTGCATACCGAACTCAGGTCCTCTGCAAGATTGACAAGTGCTCTTAAACACAGAGTCCTCTCTCTAGTCCTACCCCAGGTCTCTACTTGATGATCCAGTGACAACATCAAACTTCCTACACCCAAAACAAGAATTTTATAGTCCCCCCAAAAGTCTACGGCAGCCGTTCTCAAGCTGTGAGCTGCGACCAACCTTTCCATGGAGGTCACATATCAGATATCCTGCATATCAGATATTTACATTATGATTCATAACAGTAGCAAAGTTGCAGTGGTGAAGTAGCAACAAAATACTTTTTATGGTGGTGGGGTGTTGGGGTCACCACAACATGAGGAACTGTATTAAAGGATCCCAGCATTAGGAAGGTTGAGAGCCACTGGTCCATGGTGTTCCACCACTAAGTTCCTCCCACCCAGCTCCCAGCTAAAAAGCTCTGCCCCTGAGTCCTTCTCAGTCTCTTCTTCCCACCCAGACATACCAACTCCTAAGTTTACCTTAAAAGGTCTAGTTCCCTGCAAGCCAACTCAACAACCCCAAATAGGCCCATTAACTCTCACCTAGAGGCCTGCTTGTTTCTTTTCTGCTTGCCTGCTCAGCTTCCTATACTCACTTTCCAGAAGATATCCAGAGGGACCTTTTAAGACCATAAATTAGATCATTTACTTCCTTGTTTCTTCCCATCCAAGGGCTTACCACTGATCTCAGAAGCCCTATTCCTCCATGTTGTCTGGCACTTACCCACCAGCCTCTCTGTCACCCCCTCAAGCTTGAAATCTTTCCATCCTCCGTGTCCTGGCTCACCATTAATTACCTGCTGATTTTTTTCCCTTTGTCCATGAATATTTGTCATCATCAGTTCCTTCTCTCTACTCACCCTAATCCCCGTTCCATCAGCCTGCCAGTTCTCTCTCTCTCTCTCTCTCTCTCTCTCTCTCTCTCTCTCTCTCTCTCTCTCTCTAGTAATTGAATGAATTAAGTTAAGGGCAAAGTGAAGAACTTTGATAATTCAATTGTTTTCTTCTGGCTCTAACATTTTGCAAGCCTCTAGGCTTAAGGGTGTATTTTCATACTTACTGGTGCGGTTCATCCCCCGACAAGTAGAAGGGCAGTAAATGAATGGGGAAAGAAGGCACCAGCATTCAGTAGCAGGGGAGACTCCCTGGAGGCAGTGACAGCTGCAGTGGAATTTTTCAGTGCTCAGAATTACTTAGCAGAAAGCATTCATTATCTTACAAGATCTCAACTTCATTTCAATCGCCAACTGCTCTACTGAGCTTAAAATGTCATTGTGTTGGGAGGAACTTGATGGGCACACTTTTCAGGAATATCTGTCTTCTAAACTACATTGTCCTTAAATGACAGTGAGCGTGGGGGGGGGGGTGGTGCATGCAAGTGTGCATGCGTGTGTTTCTGTGTGTGTGCATGCACGCACGCATATGTGTTGATTACCAGCTTTATTTTGACACAGATAAGAGCTTACCGAATTGGCCCAGAGGCCCACTGACTTGACCCCCTTCGCTGGCTCCATATCTGAAGGATCTGTTCCACACCTCGGAGAAGACACACTTAGGACAGGAAATGAGTCATCTGTGTCCCACAGGACCGCTCACAGGTTGGACTATACTAAATGTGAAACATGCTGGAACAAAGTCGTGACATGTTTGTTCCTTCCCACACCGCGCGACATTTCACAACCCCCTAGTCCTTTGCCCTGAAGCTTTTACAGGTTTACAGATGTCATTTAAGGACAAATTTGAGCCTCTTGGTCTATAAGGGGGAACCTGAGCCCAGAGAAGGCAAGTGCCTTGTCCAAGTTTACACAAATGTTCTATGGAGTCAGCATTTAATAACTGCCCTGCACACCAGTTAAATGTTCTATAGCAACATGTAAACTTGTTGTGGGATATTAGTTTAAAACATTTACATTTGTTTATGCTGTGAAATATTTAAGGATGCAAAGATGTGTTGCGTTCTTTTATGTTGTGTTTGTTTCACTCTGCAAAGCCGTGTAACTTTGCCTGTCTAAAAGATCAGATTGATCTAATAAAGAGCTAACAGGCCAATAGCTAGGAAGGAGAGGGATAGGTGGGCCTGAAAGTCGGAGAGAATGAATAGGGTGAGAAAGCTAGGCTAGAGAGAGAAAAGCCAGGCGCGAGAAAAGGAGGAGAGGAGGACGCCAAGAGCCAGCCGCACAGCCAGCCACAAAGTAAGAAGAAAAGAAAGAGATGTATAATAAAGATAAAAAAAAAAGCCTACAGGCAAAATGTAGACTAGAAACAGGATAATTTAAGTTAGAAAAACTGGGTAGAAACAAGTCAAGCTAAGACCAGGCATTCATAAGTAAGACTAAGTCTTCATGCATTTCTTTGGGAGTTGAGTAGTGGGCTCTCAAAGAGTAAATAAAGAAAAAAGATACATAAACTGATTGCTAAAACTCAGTGTACTTTTTTGTTTAGTGCTTATATGTAGTTTGGTGATTTATTTATGACTATATGTAATTGAAAAGAATTTAGTTTTGTAAGGGGAGCTGCAGTAACACGGAGGTTCTTGAGCATCCCAAAGGAATCAGCTCAAAACATTAAAAGGAGTCATTGCATGAAGAACTATGAAAGCCCTTGCCTGCTTATAACAAGAGGTAAATGTTGTTGGAACTCTCTGGCTCTGTCATTTTAAACAAGCCAGGCAATGAATCATTTTCATTTTCTGTCTATAAGTAAGATGATTTATCATTTTGGGGTAACTTAAAATCTGTTTTTAAAAGTCATACAAGGAATTCCACCAGTCTGTGAGTGGTGACATGAATCGTGGTGACTGGAGGAGGGCATGAACTCAAGAGACAATAAGAGCTGTGTGTGAGGGCCTTTTCAGTCACCAAGTGGACACCTGGATGTAGAGAATAACTACAGCAATTCAGGGCAGGTGCGTTTAAAAGGGATGGCGCTTGATGATCATCAGAAATCTTTTGCTCCCTTGTTTACACCCTGTCAGAAAAGATGCAAAGGATCCCTCAGATTGTAGCAAGAATTAGAAACAAAATATGGCTCCTTACAGTTTCCTCTTTCCTTAATCTCTCTCCACTGTCTTATGTTCCCACTGTGTCAAAGAACAGAGTTGAAATAGACTCAGCACTTCTGTTTCAGAGTCCACTGCAAAACAGCCTTGACCAGTGGTCTTCACACTTGGAGTGTCTAAAAGCCACCCAAGGAATCTTTTCTAGGGCCGCTTCCAGAGCATCACATTTCCTGAGTGTGGGAGGGCACCCAAGAACTGGCGTTCCCACACTCATGCCCAGCTCATCCAGACACACTGACATGGAGGAAAGTTCTCAGACCCTGCCGGTCCTCACTCGCTCTTCCTCCTTGTCTGTTCCTCCATGGGGGAGAACTGGTCCAGTCTCCTCTCTGAGCTTCTGCCCTGATTCAGGCAACAGAGCTTTAATGACTTGGGAATTGGCTGTCCCTTGCCTCTAGTTGCCTTGGTAGTTCAAAGAGGCCATGTGCGTACGGAAACAAAGATAGATCATTTATGCAGAACACAAAGTGAAGGGTGCGGCGGCTGAGGGCTCCCAGCTGGTTCCTCCATGCTGCATGCCACCCACAGTGTTCTGACTGGGAGTTACTGTCTTCCACACCAGGCCCCGTATATATACAATCACATCCTTAAGTAGGACCGGCACAACCCACTTTCTGTCCCAAGCAGAAGTGTCTGGGAAGTGGACTGAATCCCTCTAAAAGGCTTCCTTCTTAGGTCTGGAACCCATCGGACCTCTTCCCTCAGGCTCACCCCACAGGAGGATGTTCCAGGTGAATCAAGTTGAAATGCTCAGAACAAATAAACCCTGGGAAAAGGGTGAATTCCTTAAAGATGGGAGACACAATGCAGGTGAGTGGTGCCTTCTCTTCCCTTGGGTGTTTCAACGAATCCATGTAGCAAATTCAATTTTTCTTTAACATTTGCAAATCCTCAAAATGGTGAGAGCCAGATGCCATAGCTTGATCTGATATGGCTCATATTTATAAAACTCTGATTCCTCTAGGACATAAGTTTTCTAGTTCTTTTCAATGCCCTAACACTAAAACTTGTCCCTATTTATAATTGCCCATCATTCCCTTCTGGGTGCAGGTGTTCTCATCCAGCCTTTCCAAGGTTGAAGACATCCATAAATCCCTAGCTCTACATGTTGACTCTGGACTATTTCTACTTATTCATTTATGTGCATGGATGTTTTATCTGCGTGTGTGTTTCTGTACCACATGCACATTCATCTTCCATGGAAGCCAGGAGAGAGTGTCGTATCATCTGGAACTGGAGGTACAAATGGTTGTGAGCTGCCATGTGGGTCGGGAACCAAACCATGTCCTCTGGAACTGCAGTCAATACTCTTAATCCATGAGCATCTCTCTGGAGCCCCTGGATTGTTTCCCTGAAGGGTTCTTGAGCCTTGTATTTTAAGATTCAACAGTTAGTCCATTTTTTCTTCATCTTCTCCAAACCCTTCTTTTATTTTTATATCTTTCATGAGATAACAAGGCAAAGCTCTTGGCTAAGGCACAAAATATCTGTCTACAGAGGGGAAAAAAAGCACAAAATGTCAAAGTCAATACTCAAAGTACTCTGGCATGCTCATTGGCTGAGAGCTGCTCTAGGGTGGCTGAGCCCAGTCAAGCTTGTTTGGCTCTCATTGACTAGAATATGCACCAGCCCTCTACTTTCTGTTGGAACTATGGTGATGTAATATGATACATGCTTCAAGAAAAAGAGTTATAATGAGCCAGCACTGTTAAATGCATCTATAAGAAGTTAGTTTCTTTTCCTTACAAGGTTATGACCAGCAAGAGATGATATTCAATGTTCCCAAACTGGATTGGTATAATTTCAGAGAAAACAAAGAAATGTGACCTTTAGCTTATAGACCTTTATTGTCAATATGGCGTCTCATATGGAACAGTTCTGTTAGGTTTTTGGAAGCACTGAAAGTATTGTTGCCATGCCCCATTGGCCTTGCCTTGAGATCAATCCCCCTTTGGGTGTCAGTGCCCACATTTCCTTTAGGAAACCATCTCCCTACCACTCCTTAGTTTCCTTTTGGCTGTAAAAACTGTTAACTGATGATGCTTGTGAGATAAATCTAACTCTCTTGAAAATTTAAAGAAGAAATGACCCTTCATTTCCACTAGTTTTTGCCAGCCATATTGCCACCATGAAGGTTGTGGGGATTTGAGCAAGAGCAGCCCCCAAAGGCTCATATACTTGAAAGCTTAGTCACCAGGAAGTAGAACTCTCTTAAAGCATTTGAACGATCAAGAGGTGTGGCCTTGTTGGAAGAAAGGTATCACTGGAGTGGGGGTGGACTTTGATGTTTTCAAACTCCTACACCAGGTCCAATGTCTCTCTCTCTCTCTCTTTCTCTCCCTCTCTCTCTCTCTCCCTCTCTCTCCCTCTCCAGATCAGGTTGGAGCTCTCAGTTACTGCTCCAGACCCTACCTGCATGCCCCCGTGTTTCCCACCACGGTGATGATGCACTAAACCTGTGAAACTGTGAGCAAGCTCCCAATTAACTGCTTTCTTTCCATAAGAGCTGCCCTGGTCACAGTATCTCTTCCAGCAATAGATGAGTGACTAAGACCAGTGGTAATTCCCAGCAGTAATTTACATGGGAGCAAAAATTAGAAGTGGTGAGCAGAGACCAACACCAGTCCAGAGCAGAATATCAGGAGAAGTCAGCTCTGTGTCCAAAAGTAAATTGGTCTATCTTTTCTTCTTTCCTTTCTTTTCTTTTTGCTGTGTAATAACCCTCTTGTTCACTGTAAAGATTTGTCACTTGACTTGGTTTAATAAAAAGCTGACTAGCCAGTAGCCAGACAGGAAGTATAGGTGGGACTACCAAAGTAAGGACACTGGGAAGCAGGAGGGTATAGTCAGGGGAGTCACAAGCCAGATACAGAGGAAGCAGGACATGTACAAAATGAGGTACAGAGCCATGAGCCACATGGTAGAACTTAGATCAGAAATATGGGTTAATTTAAATTGTAAGAACTAGTTAATAATAAGCATGGGCTAAGCTGGGCGGTGGTGGTGCACTCCTTTAATCCCAGCACTCAGGAGGCAGAGGCAGGCGGATCTCTGTGAGTTCGAGGCCAGCCTGGTCTACAAGAGCTAGTTCCAGGACAGGAACCAAAAAGCTACAGAGAAACCCTATCTCGAAAAATCAAAAAATAAATAAATAAATAAATAAATAAATAAATAGGTGTGGGTTACTGGCCCAGCATTTATAATTAATTTTAAGTCTCTTCTCCATGTTTGTTATTTGGGAATTGGCGGGTTGGAAAGAAAAGTCTGCCAACACCCTTTCTTTTCTTTTCTTTTCTTTTCTTTTCTTTTCTTTTCTGACAGGCAATTCCAGTTTGGCTTTTATCGTTCACAGCTAAAATAATTCTATTTAATGCCTTCTTCAGTCATTACTACTAAACAGACTTCTGTACACCAATGATCCTTAGTTGGACATAATTAACCAAGGATGAGAATAATAAAATTTAAATATCAAACTCCCTCAGATCATTGATTACTGAGGACTTATCATGTAAGAAAAAAAATTAC